AAGATTCATAAAAATACAGCGGCACGTACGAAAAGTTTGAATGCATTCTTAATTATTAACGCGACGACGTCTCGGTCGAATTTACGATCATCGGGTGATATAATGCGTCTGGCGTGACCAGACGTCTTTAGTACCGATAAAAACGTAGATCGTATATGTGGGCAGTTTCTTTCTCGATCTTTTAAAAAGAAGTATGCCCTCTGACGTTTTACGAAGAAAAATATTACTGACCACAGGAACGACAATGATGATGGAGGAAAGCGGCAATCTTAGTTTACGGCACATTTACGCGCGGGGACTTTATAATATTACGAAAATTCTGTAAGCGAAAAAAATTCTTGGGATAAAAAAGAGTGACTAGAGCAGAAGTGACTATTCATACAGGGGTTGCATGGACATTTGCAGAGGTGGCGCCTGTGATAGCTCGCGAGACAAGTGGAAATGAACGGTCATAATCAGACGTGAAAATACTCTAACGTATTTGCCTAAGAATAACCAGAATGGAAATTGTTTCGCGAGTATGTTGATACGATTCGTGCATTTGCTCCGGAATTTCCTTATTTAATATTGTATATGACACAATGGAAGAAGAGATTTTGTAGGGGATTATGTTTACATCGAAAGAAATTGTTAGTTTTAATGTAACATACTTAATTCATTTTCCACAGAAATAATATTACATTAATGTTATAATTTTCTACTTAGCAATATAACATTGTTATGCGCAATATCTGTTATGTTACACTTATATTGTTGAGTGAGAAATTATAATATTTATGATATTTATGATGTTAATTTGTGAAATTTTTCGAAATATAATCGTCTATATTATTTTAAAAGAGTAATTGTCTTATTTCTTTAATGTAAATATTAATTCTAAATGAGTTAGGAGTTAATTTAATGTCTTCGTCCTTTCGATTTTCGTATCGGAAGAACCATTGGAAGTGGTAGAGACCACGATAATGGCGACACCGGACGATTTTCATGTAATCATCCTTATTTGTGACGGTAGCTTTTTGTCAATTAATCTCGAGTTATCAGGATCTGTGGCAGGACTTTACTGTGGGTGGACGCATAAAGGGGTGGAGTGTTGGTCATTTGTATAACGCTAGTAGAGTGGGGTATGTATACGGGCGTTATCGCACCAGAAGAGGGATGGGAAGGAGAAGTAGTGATGGAACCAAACTAATATTTACTCCCGATTCTCGAGCAAACTAAGCGAAGATGTTCATATAAACTACGTCAATATTAACTTCGACTTGTAAATCTCATTGGTATGCTCTCGTACTGTTTGGTATTATATTCATGCATCTTTTAAAACAACGATCTTCATATGATATTCATCTTATGATATTCAAAATGTACTGAAATACGTAAACAATAATATTCAGTGTTCAATTCAATAAAATATTAAATATCATATATAATAAAATGCAAGCAAACAATTATAAATTATTTTTTCGATACTCAGAGCGGTACAATAAATCATTTTAAATTTTCAATTTTTAAGCAGAAGTTTCAGACACGTCAGGTGATAGCGTATAAAGATTATGCACAGATGTGATAAGCGTACCGTCATATGCTTTGAGATTGAAAAAGGGTATCGCAGGTTTTTGGAGCGGACGTTGGTTATATGAAATGGCCAGCTCAACGAGTTACACGATGTCAACGGGTTGTTCTGGGCAGATTCGTTTGATAATTCGATAGCAATCCACGTTTCCACCCCGTATTCGCCGTACATGGATTTACCTTTGCACCGCACGCAGATTCATCCAATTAAATTTATCAGATTGCATGCGCGCGAGGGTCAAAAGGGGGACGATACGCGATGATTGACAGGCGTTTGTCTTTTTGGGGTCACGGCAGTATTTTTTTCATTCTCAATCGGGACATTGCTGCCGGAAGAAGTGGATAATAGTAGTTGAGCAATATTGCAGTGAATTGAAATAAAAAAATTTAGATTTATAGAATTTTGCGATTTACTTTATAGCAAGAATCTTTTACTTTGCAGATTTTTGCATGTGAAAATGTTTTCTTATTCTAAATATATTGAGAAAAAAGGTTGTAATTATTATATATTAGGTGTTGGAATTAATTCGTAGCGTTTTTAATGAAAGAATGTTATTTATTTCACATGAGCATTAAAAAATACATTAATGAAAGTACTTCCCATCACTTGTAAAACGCTACGAATTAATTCCAACACCTAATAACATATCATAATAACTATAAAAATGAATCTTTTAGCTATATATTTATTATACAATTATATAATTACAAATAAAAAATACTTTTTTCTCAGAATTTTGTGTAGTGTTTGATAAATTTAAAGAAATAGTGTACAACTGGGACAGCTGACATAAAAAAAATTTGTCATAACATTGGTAATTGGTTTAAATAAAATAGTAAAAATAATTCTGACTGTAACTGATAAAATAACTGATAAAATAAATGCGAGAGTTAAATTTGTAAAGAGAACAAAAATTTTAATATATTATTTCATTCAGTTTATTTCATTCAGTTTTCTTTTTCTTGTATTAATAGACTCACAGTCAGCCAGTTTCTATTACGAACTTTCCTTTCGGATCAATCCCTGTCAACCGCCAATGAGTATCGTCGTTCGGTCTGATGATGATTGATGATGATGGAGAATATACTAACTGTTCCAAAGGTATACGGAGAACGATACGATGTATAGCCCGGCAGCCATTTGAATGATGTTTATTCGGAAACTTCGAAGATTTTATGCAACATGTGTTCAGACAGCCAACGGAAATATCAAAAAGCCAGAAGGCTGTAACAAGTCAGAGTAATAACTTTTCTAAGGTTTTAGAATTGTATTAACTTAAAAGTTATATAATCAAAGAAGAGAAAATCGTAATTTTAATATTGGATTTAAAGTATGATTATTTTACGGAAATAATATTGTACGGAAATTTCGCTGATATATCGAAAAATATTTAAATTTATGTGACTCAAATAAAAAATGTTAATCATAATATAAGTATCATAATCAACAAGCGCTAATAAATCATATTGCTATGATTGTGAAATAATGTTTGCGGTTACACAATTTGTGTGAATAATGTATGCCCTTTATAATCTCCTAAAATCGAAATCGTTTGAAAGTTTGGCTTTCGCGCGACTCCTGTAGTACGTGTCAGTATTCTACGTGACATGCATATTTGAAATAAATTCGATGGGTTGAGAGAGAGAGAGAGAGAGAGAGAGAGAGAGAGAGAGAGAGAGGGGGGGGGGAGTGGGAATGTATGCGAATCGAATTTATTCCAATGCCACTCGCATACGTGAAGCAAATAGATACGAAAACGTGTGTGAATTAAAGTATAAGAAATACTCGTCCCTCTTCATAATTCGCACATCATTTCTTACGAATCATACTGTAATTAGATTTTCGAGTTTTAACTTTAGAATCAATGTGAACGTATATATTGCACAAAATCAACAAATATAAATTTATATACTCAGCGATACATAAAGAAAAACAATACAAAATATACATAAAAAAGTTTTCATAAAAATAACAAAAACATTTGTTTATTTAGAGATTATACATGTTCAATTCAATTATGCTTCTCATCCATCGTCAAATTGTAGTTAGGTATCAAGAGAACTTGAAATATGAAAATGTTTACATGCACAGATACAAGTGCTTATAATAAAAATGAAAAATCTCTAATCCAGTTTAACAAAACATATTTTTACAAATGCTCAAACAATCTCTTTTATTAAACTCAATCAGTTCTACAGGTGATCCAATAAAAACATGTTATTGATTAAGCACGAATTAGTTTTTGTCCTCTTTTTTTAATAACTATATCTTTTATTGAAAATTTGGAAAATAAAATTGTTAGTGCGAACATATTCTCGATGAAATGAATGCACATCGTTTGTTGTACGCGTTTAATGTCTTTTGTCATAAAGATGAACGTGTATTAGCGAAAGCTGGATTATTCTTTATAAAACAAACGATATAAAGAAAAGCGAATGAGAATGTTTTATTCTTTATACTACATGACGAACTTGAAGGCAGGCAGAATTCTAAGAAGATACAAACGAGCATATACAATGAGGCAGAGTGCATAACTGTCTTCTATAAGATATTCTGCCGAAATGTCGAAGAGCGTATTAAGCTTAAGAAATGAGCTGAGTTTGCTCGCTCGGCATCAGTTCACTACTTGTGCCAGTTATAACGCACTTGGATTTTGGTATCTTGTAAGTAGTACATCCAGCAGTCGCGCGCTCATAGCTGATTCAGAGTTGTACTCTTGTGGGAGATGTCTGCGAGCACTGGTTTCCTGTCCAAAATTCGCATATATAAGTTTCGTGGAAAGTGGAACACATTTCATGCGCTTCTTTATGACGCACAGCATAAGTGATTACAACGCGACATATTAAAAAGATAGACTTCTTTAATGTGATAAAAATTTTGCGCATCTTTTGCACATAAGAATAAGATTAGCATATCTTCTATGATTTTAAACAAATAAATGTTTTTAATCTTTTGTACAATCTAGAGGGCGGAGTTTGGTTCTCCCTCTTAAAATATCTTGTAAAAAACCTATTTGATCTCATATTTATTGAAAATCTAAAATAGTAGAAACTAAATTGCAGACGGAAGAAATGATTGCAGACAAAAGGTTAATAATCTAAAACTTTAATTACCGTTCTATAAAACAAAAGACTTGTCATTGGACTACTAAAACTTTTTCTTATTTTTGCAAAATTTCAAATATATATTTATTTCATTTTACGTACAATGAATGTACACTATCTAGAATAAGAGAGATGTTTACAATATTTTATGCGAGCATTCCTTCTTCATTTTTTTAAACTATTAAATACACTAACATCAGAATTACAAACAAAAGTGTAACATAAATACAAATTAATTTTACGTATAATAGGATTTATAAGATTGAGAAACATATTATATATTATCATCAAAAGTTATGTTCACCAGATCGTTATTCTCTTTCTAGCGTCAGCACACGTACGCGTCACATCCAACGAAGATGCGCAGCGGCATGTAAACGATACCTATAATGATTTGAAGGAAGAACTGCCCATTTTTGAGCCGACAGCAGCGAATGTCAGTGCATTTGTGGGACAAACCGCATATCTACCGTGCCGCGTGCGAAATTTGGGTGACAAAGTAGTAAGACTTTTGTTTTATAATTTTACTATTATATTTTATGTAAACACCAGACAAACATTCTTTCATAATTATTAATTTAATTAAGTTTTACATAATATATTTCATTCAATGCTCACGATATTTTATATGATCATTTATATGATTGTTTATAATTTATAATATTAGGTATGCTGAAATTATATTTAAAGATCATATATGTTTAACTATGTTTATGCGGATATAATATAAACATGAAGCTATTTGAAATGCGAATTTCGTTTATCATGTTACTCAGAATATATAAAGCAGGATAATTAACTCTTTGTGAATTGACAACTCCATTGGCCATTTGGAATTATCCCCTTTTATTTTATGAATTGCTGGTTTGATTTTTTTTTTAAACTCGGCCTATGGGGTGATTTGTTAATGCTTTATCGAATCTGAGGTAAAAATTAAAAAATTTAAAGTAGTCCAATATTTTGAACAAAAATTCGTAAAAAGAAAAATCTGGTTATCATAAAATTTATAGTTTTAGGAAATTTTTAATTATAAAGTATTATGTAGTATTATTAAGTTCCAGTTTCATTTTAGTTGAAGTTCATCAATGCCAGGCAAACAGTTAATCTAAATGGCTTTTAAACTCTGATTATGAACTCCGTGATACTAGATCCAGCCTTCGTTGGAGATTATTACCCTTTGATTTGATACTTTTAGGATACCGAGTTTTATAATCAGATTAAAAGAGTTCGATAATCAGATTAAAAAAAAAATGTTTAAGACTATTTCTTTTAATTTAAAATTTATAATTCTAAGATATAGAATTGAATGTTATTGATCTCGAAAACCTTTCGAAAGACCTTCCATAGCTTTGTTGGAAAGCTCCGGTCCTCAAAGGAAGGGGTTAACAAAGGTTATACATATGTATGTATCATTATTAATTGCAAACAAGCTATGACTAGCTCGACGGCAATTAATCTGAAAATTTACCGGAGACGGCTTCGATTCAAACAGGTTGTTTCCAGCACCCTTATCTGCATAAGGGAGCCTACGTAATTAATACAGTGGCATGACAAATTGTCGCTTCCGTAGTTCCGTAATAGGGGGCCGCCAATAAATATCGCGACCGCGATTAGGGCGCGTTCCACACACGTGAACGTAGAACGTGAGGGTGGGTGTCGTAGCGCGTAGGAAATGGCGTGTCTGTGACGATATATCATGAAGAGTCATGGGGACACAGACGTCAGGGTGCTTCCTTCAAAGGCGAAATCTCTCCGATGCGTATCTCGCGGCGTTGACTAAGCGCACGGCATAGATTTAACGAAGACGTATGATCGTCTTAGTATAACTTTTCTTTAGCAACCGGTCTCGCTTTTCAGTTCCCACTGCATTCCAGCCATCGTCTAAGTTTTTCCTTTATGTGAATTTAATGAACGCGGTTGATCCGAATTTATTAGATTTTATGGATACGAAGTAATGTGAACCACGAAGAATGACGCAGACATATTTCTCAATCGTTTCTGGCATGAAACAGAGTAAAAAAAAAAGATATTTTCGTCTTTTTATATAATCACAATCAAAGTAAACGGTAAGTAGAGAAAATGCAAATTTGCAGCGTGAGAAGAATGTGAATAGAAAAGGAGAGATTCCTAAAGCCTTTACATCGAAGTACGAACGCTTTATAACTTACCTACCTAAATTCTTCGCTCCGCGGAACACGCGCAAATAGAATCTTTCGAAAGTTCTTGGGTCCGCTGCGAGAAAGCCTGGCAATCTGAAGTACGAGGAACACGGTTTCGCGGTAACAAGGGATGCAAAAAGGAAAGGTCGATGAAACGATCGAAGCGTGCAAATTTGTGGACGACTCAGCTACGATTCACATAGGTGGTGAATCATTCCGCGAAGAATCATATACCTAGCCAATGGTCACATTCAATGTCCGTCAGTCGGTTCGTTCACACACACCCTTTAGATTGAAGGGCACTTGGTACCAATCGAGAATCATTCCTAGGAAGCGAATGTCATACGGTTCGCTGTGCATTTTTCTCTACAAACGCAATTTTTCGGCACATCCATCCAATTTTCACGACCCACTTTTTCGCGTTCCCGAATTTCCTCTCTCGCTTTAGACAAATTTCTTTCTGCTTCTATGCAGGCTTTATTGTTATCGAGCGAACGGCAGTAAACGTATGCAACTGGTGGATGGATGCGGTTTTTGTAACGGCGTTTTGCCTTTTTCACTCGGAGTAGAAATCTAGAATTGATGAGTGTAATTGTTCGATACTTGAAACTTTTAAGATAACATTGATATTAAAAAAAATAATCTGCGCAATCTTGTCTCTTTATTGAACACACAAAGGCTCTGTCAATTTAAAAAACTTGCTGCAGAAATGTATGCGTGTTCAGATATCAGTTAAAAGAGTTGGCCTTATTAATTTATTTCATTTATCAGTAATTATAATATTTAAATATTTCGTTTCTACTTAGGCTTTGTACACGTATATATGTATAATACGTATATATATTAAATATATAATGTATATATTACGTGTTATATTTTCATTATAATTAATTAAACATTTTTAAATTAAATTATCAAGCTATGCTATATTCTAATTATGCACGCATAAAATATTATGTTTTATATACTGCATTGCTATACATTATCATTAATCATTTTGCTTTTAAAGATAAATACCATAATAAAATAAGGTTTTTTTAATTAAAAAAAATTAGTTTATTATTCCTTTTTCACGTGTGGAAATAATAATAAAAACTACATCCACTTTGATGAAAAAAAAAATGTTTTATTCTATATCGTTGTCATCCAACTGTAAAAATTTAAACTGAAGATTGATGGTATATCAAACGTAGTTCAATGTGCAATATTTCGAAAACGTACTTGTATCTAACAGATATTTTATAGATTTTATTGGAAATGGACGAATATATAGATTTCTTTAATAGCTGGGATATAGAATTGCTCGACGTGCATTTTCTCGGGGCATGGCCGGATGCATTTTTAGTTCACGTTCACCAGATTTATCCAATCTTTTCCACATTTTTCTTCCATCCACTTATCTGTTTTCCTTTTTCCCTACGATCCACCTTTAATTAAATATCGATCTACGTGCGGCGACGGTCAGCGGAAACGCGTCGATTACAAGTTTTCTCGAGTTAAGTCGGAAAATCAAATGGAGTTTAAGAAGAAAATAATTGCGAAAGATTAGTCGCATTTATTTTAGTACAACTCGAATGGCTTCTTAAACGGAAAAAGGATTTTAATGAAATTTGTAACGGCTCTTCACTACGGTCAGATTATCAGTTAACATTCTTGAGAAACTTATGAATGAAGAAACTGATTGCTTGAATGTCGTTATTTTCGAATCTCGTTAGTTAAATTATGAGTAATTAAAAATGAGCATTTTGAAAAAAATGTGAAAAGATATATGTCAATTGCTACTTAGATGATGGTACTTTATCTCTAATTGTTCTTAAATTAAATTGTGTGTGTGTGTGTGTGTGTGTGTGTGTGCGCGTGTGTGCGTGTGTGTCGATAAATTTATCTTTAATTTTATTCTAAAAAATGAATAACTATATCTCAGATATGTCGCAGCGCGTGTAACTTTTATCGTTAAATATTTCAAGTACGTTATTATTTATTTTACTAGTTTGCTGTGAAATAATATTAGGTGTTGGAATTAATTCGTAGCGTTTTACAAGTGATGGGAAGTACTTTCATTAATGTATTTTTTAATGCTCATGTGAAATAAATAACATTCTTTCATTAAAAAACGCTACGAATTAATTCCAACACCTAATATATTATAGGTATAATGATATTCATTTATTTATCGGCTGCAAATTCCTCCAAGAATCAAACATAATTATCAAGTAATGATTGAAAATGAATATTTTAAGGCAATTATATAGCCGCCTGTATTATCGATTAAATCATAATTTTTGTAACAATTACTTTTTTCCTCTTTTACAGATTTCCTGAAAAAAGATTTTTAAATCTGTTAAAAGAGGAAAAAAATAATTATACAAAAATTACGATTTATTTTTTCAAACTTGATTCTCGTCGATCAATATTTAGAGTGCAGTATACTTGACGCTACAAATGCTTCGAAATTTTTGATTGATCAAAATCGGAAGAAAGAATTTTACTAACTAACCAATCAAAAAATGCTTCGAAGCATTCGTAGCATCAAGTGGACCATAGCCTCAGGAGATTGAATCATTAAAGGAAAATTACAATATTAAGGAAGAATAAAACAATGATGAAATTTGTTATTTCAGGAACTTTACTCTATACTGTAACAATATCGTATCAATTTATTCATCGGCTACTAATCGTAGCTGCGCAAAGTATTTTAATAAAACACAATTTGCAAATTATGTCTTTTTTTAAGAAAGTTATTTTAATCATCATATTGTTTTACGTTACAATGCAACGCGGTTATTTATTTTGCACTTTACAATAGAATCGTCTAAGAAGATGTTTCCATACCCAATTGTCTGCTCCTTCTCGAGTTGCCATTATATCTTCACAGAGTCGCGATGTGTTACTAAATACGAAGTAGCGACTACGCCAAAGAAAATATTCGGAGAAACTGTTTAGGGAAGATTAATGAACAGAGAAAGAGAGAAGAGGGAGAGCGAAACATGTAATTTTTCACTAAAGTAAACATTATTGTATTGATTGAATTTTTCATTTTTATTTTTGATCGAAAATGATATTAAGATTCAAGAAAAGTAAAATTATTGCTTAAGCACTGTGTTGTGTTTATTTCTGAATTGTATTTTAAAAAGTTTACAATTCTATTATATATGTATACATAAAATATTTTATAGATTTATATTAAGAACTTAAAGATACATTTAAAAACAAATGGAGAAACACATAAAAATATAAAAGATTTTATTTCATTCATCACCTTTATATATTTAATATATTTTAATGGCTTAGTAATTTCATCGTAACTTACCGTAAAATCACAAAGTAAGAATAAGCGCGTTTG